CAGTTTTTACGTGGAGTGGATACGTACCCTGTTGCACGTTGCTTGTTGATAGTAGCGTAGGCAACGGTGGCGTTATAGCATGCCAATGGGGCGGCGGGGGGCGGCGGGGGGCGGCGGGGGGCGTTTGACCGAAAACCGGGGATGTCGTGATTCTGTCCCCGGGTGACCTCCTTTTTTTTTTTTTACGATAAATGTTTCTCATTCATGTCTGGATGCTCCCTCCAAATTTTATGTCGTGGGGATGTATAAACAGTCCAGAATAATAGTCTATCCAGGGTTAGTGATGTACGGGGCTGATTCTTGCCGTAGCGGCACCCAAAATACCGAAAATATACCCATTTTTGAACAACCATTCTTTGACGGTAACAACTCCTTTCGGTGTGATTTTTTTTTTCGTGGTCGGCTATTATTGACAGGAGCAACCCGTTTATGCCCCAAACCTATTATATGTATTCGTTTTCGATGCACATATCACGCCGTATAGGCAAACGGAGGCAAATCCTGCCCCCCACATCTGCGTCAATAACCCGGGGATATCCATTTTTTTATCCCCTGGTGGCACCGAAAAAAAACAAAAACTTGATTTTTCTCCACGACCGTTGTGTTGGGCGCATGTGTGCCAAATCTTGGGTCTTGAAACGGTTTGAAACCCCCGCAATCAACCAATCGTCAAAAACATAGTTGCCATTACCCCCCGGGCCGTCTTACCCCCAAGACTTGAACTTGAACTTGGGCAAACGGAAACAGTTGTTGTGCCTCGTCACTAACGTTTTTTTTTTTTTTGACAGATAGGTGGTGATGTTCACTATCGTCGTTCGATACCCAAATATCTTCGTAGTCGGTTTTACTGTCGAAGAACGAACATTTGGCGCGGGAGGTGGCTTAGGTGGTTGTTAATACCCGCCGCTACAGGGAGTGGAGAACTCCAGAATATCTGTGGTTGATTTCTATTGACTAGCGGACCCCGTGGGGCCATTATATTTGAGAGTACCTTTTTAGGGTAAGTTAGCCTGCGACCACGGGAATCGACCGCGCCGCGTGTTGTATCACTACGGACATACGAAGGTACTGGGTAGAGAGAGATCGTAACGGTTTTTAATGTGAAGCCAAGAACAACAACAACAACAACAACAACAACAACTCAAATTGATCAACATCAAAGTATATGTGTTATCGTGGAAAGAAAACTGGGGAACGAGGATCGACAAAAACCGTATATGACACAAGATAACATACCCCCTGGACCGATTTTCAAATATTGATTTCTCAATAACAGAAAGAGTCACGGCGCCGAAAACGGCGGCGTTGGGACCGCCTCGCCAAGAGCTTTCCAAAAATGTATCGTTTCGTTTATGCATCCTCTTGGTCGTGGAGTAATCGAGCGTTGAAAATTGGTCCAGGGGGTGTGTAATCTTGTGTCATATACGGCATGCATACCAGGCAACAAAAGTAAATGACCTGGCGTCAAGGGGAAGAGCCAGCAGCGAAGCGGTGATTTTTCAAGGGTGGGCTTTGCGCTCTTCTGTTCACGTGTTAGCCGATATCTCGCCAAACACTCAACGATTTGCCTCAAGAACGGGTTCCGGAAGGAGCTGGTATCATGGGCTGTTGGATAATGCCAAGGTTTGGGGCCGTGAGGTGCCGAATGCGCCGGAAAGAAAAGGTCGTATTGAAACAATAATGCTAACGGTTGCGAGCGGTTGGTTCAAGTTCGGTGTTCTGGGCCGCCGCGGGTTTGGATATCCACTGATAACGTCCCGAAGGAGCAAGCAACAGCAACAGCAACGTCACGCGGCGGGAGGTATCTACGTCTCTGCTCCATCGTTCAAGCCCAAGGTCTGCTACCGTGGGGTATCGTGCGTAGTCTATAAGGAAAAAAGTTTTGGTTGACCTTATATCTACGTCAGAGAGCGGTTAGTTCAAGTTCGCGCCGAATGTTTGCTGACAGTATAGTTTTTCAGCGATAACTCTTCGAAGGAGGAAGCAACAGCATTAGCACTGCCACGCGACGGGAGGGAGGTAGCTCTACCCATCATCTTTTCCGTACAAGGTTAAATGCCTTGGGGTATCAGCCCCTCGATGAGCAGTGTACAGCAGGTCTTGTCGCACACACGGTTTGCGGTGGGCTCACGGCAGGTGCTCCACGCCTTTGAAGTCTTGAACTCCCTGCCTCTTTGGTTTTCTCTTGGTTTCATGTCTCTTTTATGTCGAAGAAAAGTCCCTTGGGGACTTGGGGTACTTGTTCCCAGAGAGTGGAACTTCCAGAATATCAATGGGCGTCGTCAGGAGGTACGAGAATTTCGACTGATCGGAGCTTGATGTTAATTTTTTGAAATTCTCTTTTTGATTTTTAGCGATTCATGTATATACGGCTGTACGCAGAGATCTCCGCTCCAGAGGGTCGGGGATAGATCAACAATCAAGTCTTCGAGTTACCGCACTTCCTGTCAATCTACGTTTCCCTGAGCAACACAAAGTAATCTCTCCCCCGTGTGGAGCAACAGGCTCACCAAGATGTGTGTAGTGTGGCCATTTTTGTGCACCGGCGCCAGGACCGGTTCCCACAGACCACAGACCGTCATTCTCATTTTTGAATTTCACCCAGCCGATTGGTGACACGTGTCCCCTTCGAGAAGTAGCCGTCTGTTTTTTCCCGTTTCCGCCCTTTTTTCCCCGCCGACATCCTTGCCACCCCCTTGCTTACAACTTTCGCTGGTCATCGAGTACCTGCAGAGATTGAGGTGAGACGTTGTTCGAGCCTAAGGCCTGCTGCTGTAGATGCAGTAGGTGCTGGTGGGAGAGCGAGCTACATGTACATAAATAGCAGGCAGCAGTAGTCTATTTAGTCGGAGAGTCGACAACTACAGCAGTTGAGGGTTTCGACCGAGTGCCTTTTGTGTTGAGTCACCTGTTTTACACTGTATGCATACAAGAAGGCGCTATCTACAACTAGGTACCTCTCTGCAGCCCCGTAAGTTGGTCTTCAATCGTTCCATAGTGGCGGTCGAACTGCGTGCGAGGAATGTGGTCAACTATGGTGCTTCTGACATTGTCTCAGCCGCTGTGTACACATGTACGCCGCGTGTAAAGACAGGTCAAACAACAACACATAACGCTGTTGAATGTATTATAGTAGAATATGCATACGTACGAGAGTCGGTTAGAGCATGTGTCAGCAGAAAAACTACCACTGCTGTTGTTGTTGTTCTGCACGTACTGTCATGAACTGCGCTTCCTACTTCTGTTTGTACAGATAGCGGCCACCCCTCTTTGGCTGCATCATGCCGAGTACGTGTACATACACACGCTGGCCATGCCGTGCGACCAGTAGCACAGTCAGTAGCACGCAGCACACGAAGACCTCCTTGATATCCAAATTATATATTGTGGTCGTGTTTTGTACTTTTTAGTATGATACGGAGGACGGTTGCGAATCAACCGTTGTGTTGACAAGGGGATGCTGTGATCCCCCCTGCCTGACGCCCTTACAAATTGGAGGACCCGATCCGCAGGGTATCCGTCGATTGGCTTTTACCAGAATCGGTACACACCTTGGCGTTAAACACTTGCACAAAAGGGGTCGTGTCGTAGACGACGCCATATCCAGGGGTGTTGTCAGCGTTTCCCTGTTACAGCAGTAGTACAATGTATGCGTCACGTTGATCGCACCACCTCCCACCGCCTCTTTTCGCTCCCCTCTCGCGAAGTCGCCGGATGTACGTCACCAATGTCATGTCATCCTTACCCCTCTTCCATGTTCTCATTTCCTTTCTCCCCCCCTTACCTCCCCTCCACCACCCCTTTCTTTCGTCCTCCTCCTCTGCCCCCTTGTCCATTGCTTGACCCACCCCCCAATAAACGCAGATGATGTCGTGCTGAATACTCCTCACCGCAATACCGTCCCTCAAGTCCAGCAGCATCATTCCATGACTACCACGAGCCGCAACACCAGCAACCAATCACCGACCTACGAGAATCCGCCCGGTTGATCCTGACTGACGAGCGAGAGAAACGACCGCCCTGTTCGCCAACAAAATCCACTCGGAAATACCCACCACGCCCTCAACGAAGAGTTGTCTTCGGAAGTTATCAAGAAGACGAGAGCAGACAACAAGTCGGGCATATCCACCGCTGCGTGACCCACGACGAGCAGGATTGCTCCCGATTTTTTCCCGTTCCCAGCGGCTTGGACACCAAGGACGACAACGGCGACGATCGCCGTCATCATGGCCACCACCACTGCCGCCCTGGACGAGGTGCACTTCGTCAACCCCGACGCCGTCGGGGCGCGCTCCCGCCGCCGCGTCAAGCTCGCCGCCGCCCGCGCCCGGCTGGCCGCCCTGGCAGCTGCCGGGGGCGGCGCGTCTTCCCTGGGGGGGGACGGCGCCGGCCCCGGCGTGAGCGAGAAGGAGGTGCGAAAGCAGCAGAGGATGCTGAGGAACCGGGAGTCGGCTGCTCTGTCGAGGAAGCGCAAGAGCGACCGTATCGGCGAGCTGGAGATCCAGGTGGAGGCCCTCCAGGAGGAAAACCGCCGCCTCCGCCAGCGCATCGACCGCCAAGAGGACGACGGCCGCGACGCGGGCAACGGCAACGGCAACTGCCGCGTCTTCAACGCGGGCGAGATGACCGACTCGCACTCCCCGCCGGCGGCGGCCGCAGGCAACGGCTGCGTCATCAACACCGCCGCCTCGGACCCCCCGCCGGCGGCATGGGCTCCCACCGACCTCGCCGCCAGGGCCGCACTGGCTGCCACTTCTTCCATCGTTCTCCCTTGCGCGTCTACGACCACCATCATCCCCACCACGCCGCCCGCCACCAACAGCGACCTCGCCGCTGCGAACAAGGTTTTCCGCGGGGGGTCTGGCGTACCCGTCGCCGGCGGCCCCTCCTGCTCGGCCACGGCGACTTGTGCTTCTTCTTCTCACGTCCCTGCTTCTGCCAACGCTTGCTTTAATATGATCTCGCAACCCGCAGTGTTTGCGTAACACTTTTAATCAGGCCGGTTTTTGCGTCGTTTGTCCTCTCGAGTCTGGTTCCCTCTCCCTGGTCCTTCCCTTCCTTCTCCTCTTTTCCTTGCCCTGTTCACCGTCGCGCTGATGGGGCACGGGAGAAGGGGGGGGGGGGGGGGGGGGGGGGGGGGGGGGGGGGGGGGGGGGGGGGGGGGGGGGGGGGGGGGGGGCGGGAGGTCTGAGGGGACTTTGGGTTTTTCCTCGAGGGGGCAGTTTCATCGGCGCCGGCCCGAACCCAGTCTTCCCGCAGCGGAGACAACAACAGCAATGCAGCAGCAGCAGCAGCAGCAACAGAAACAAGAAGAACAGCAGTGCCACCACCACCAGCCCACAGCAGCAGCGACGTCGACGGAGACGTCGACGGCGGCAGGGGCGGTGTCCGGGGTCGAGGCGGAGGTTTCGACGGACGCGCAGGTGGGGTCATCATCATCGTCATCGTTCTCTTCGTGCTCCGACAGCGACGACGGCGCCGCCGGTGACGACATCGACTTCCTGTTCGTCGAGCTCATGGCCGAGGACATGCCCGAGGCGGTGGCGGCGGCGGCGGCGGCGGCGGCAGAAGCCACCGCCATCGCTGACCAGGAGCTCCCTCTGTACCTGGGCGGCGGAGACGGCGGGCAGGCTCCCGTGTCGGCGGTGACCGACATGGGCTGCGTGCGCGCGATTTGATATCAATGAACCTNCCCCCCCCCCCCCCCTCCCCCCACCCTAGAGATTTGTGTTACGTTAGGGTAGGAAAACAAAGCTGTGACGCAAGATGCGGAGGAAAAGGGGTGCCCTCGGTAGTGGCAAGTTTTGTCACCGGTGTGGGGTTTTTATATTTTTTCAGCTTATTTTACCGCGACGGCGAGTGGCGTATATATTGCGCGGTTTAATTGTAGGGGGGGGGGACTACCTATGTTCGGAGTCTACCATTAGCCGAATTGGTGTTGCAGCAGTGCCAAACTCTCGTCGCGTTGTTTCGGTTGCTAGTGTAGTCTAGACCAGGCGACCGATTTTCGTACAACCAATCGGCTGCTGCTGTGCGTCAGCTATCTGATCGGGGAACGTCGATACCGTAGCCAACCGTACAACCAGTTGTTGCGAATGTGGTATTGTGTATACCAGTCGCAGATGAGTGTAACAGGGTGTTTAGGGTATCTCTTGTCTGTGCTGGTTTACACTCTATAGACACATGCATGTAGGGTACGAAAAAGTTGTGCGTTCGGGCGGGTGACGTCGAGTGTGAAAATTGTTTCTTTGCTTTTTAGGAGTGAAACTTGAGATGATGTAGAGACACAAGGCATATATATGCACAGGTTCGTGCAACTAACACAAGATGCCTAAATCCATGCAGCCGTAACTGGTAGGAGGGGTTGTCTGTCTTTTGTAAAAGGACCAAAATTTCTTGGGTCATGTGCACTGTCGATGGAAGTACTTCCGTCATGTTGTGTCGACGGTGGCGCTTGTGTTTTGAATGCGTACGAGACAGAGTTTTAGAAGAAAAAAAACAGGGGAAACTTTGCTACTAATTGCGGTAGCGGCAGCGAGTCAGAGACTATTTTGCCCTTGCTCGCCAGTAGCGGCGTTGAGGGTATTTGTCTTTCTCTTTCCTTTCCTTTGGGAATATGATGGATCTCGAGGGTCTCTCTTCCCGATTACGCCCTCCTGTACGGAGAGGAGTAGACGGGCGGGTACTTTGCCTATATATTGCGATTTTGAGTGTGGGAGAGGCCAGAGAGATTAGGCGACAGAGCTTGTGACCTCGTGTAAGGAGAACCGAAGATGAAAAGGATAAAAATGAAATACAGGAATGACCAATCTGCGGTTGTTTTTTCCATGCTGTTGGCTCTCTTCATTCATGGGTAATACTGCTGTGTTTGGAAGCAACAAGCAAGCAACCGCGGAAAATCCCGGTTGACGAGTCTCGTGCAGCTGGCTAACTGTCGAGCTGCTGCCGTCGCGTCCAACTGTAATTGTTGCATGCATTTGACGTGACGTGTTACACATTACATGTGCTTGAGCTGGGTGTTCTTCCGTCCACGCGTCGCTCCCTCGCTCGTAGCAAGCGCTGTGTCAATGTGTCAGGCATCAAAGTGAAAAGACAGAAAACAGAAAAGAGTCGCCGCCGATGCATCTAAGCGCAGCCAGCCAGTCGTGGCGATAGCATGCATTTTGCTTCATCACGCCCAACCAGGGTGGGCAATATGTCATTAGACATAACGTTCTCGCCGTGCAGTTTTGCCGAGGCAATGTTTTCGCGTCAACGCGCGCTCACTTCCGGCGCTGGTTCAACCCTTTCGCTGCATGAGCTGCTGCCGTTTCGTCGTGGTTGTGTTGCCCCCTCTGTTTCTATTAAATGTCCATGAAATAACGAACATCTTTCACTTCTTGAAAGTACGTCCTCTAAGGCATGTATATTTTTTTGTGTTGTTACGACGGCGGAGAAAAACAACGTCGGCCCCGACAGGACTGCCGGGCACACCTCGAAGAAACCGACTGCATAATCAACACTTTGATCGATCTCGGCGACACTTCCGTGTTCTATGCATCTATTTGTTGATTGCCTTGACCGTCACCGCCACGACCAGCTTACTCTCCAATCGACGCCTCAAAAGAGAATAAAACAACAATGACAAACAACGCGGCGTTGGGAATGAATGCACCATATTTCTTTGCAGAGCGAGCGGTGATTGCATGACAACGGCAGGGAAGAACCATAACAAACTGTATGCGATGGACACGCACGTGCTGCATGCTGCAAAAGCACCAAGCACGAAAAGAGCTACAATGACGCACGTATGTACGAACGATGAAGCACAACACATATCGCGGCAACCTAGATAGCTTTTGCAACCAAGGTACGCTGCAGCCAGACATAGTACACGCAGCTCTGGAAGAGCAGGCATACAGCTCTTTTAATCCTCACTACGTCTTGCGATACGCTAGCCCCTCCCACAACCCCCTCACACACCCACGCAATACCACAAAACACCGAAAGAAGAACAACTACAAGTACAAATAAAAACCTGAAAAACGTGTAAACTTTTGGAAGAATGTTGAAAAACGTTTGGAAGAATGGTACGCAAAATTTCTCAAAAGTACATGTGGAGCTGCAGAGCACTGAATTTTTTTGGTTTGTTTTGTTCTGCAGCCCCCAGGTCGCCTGTCCCCGATGAACTTCCTCACATCAAGTGTTGTCAGCTGTCATCGTGCTTCACACGAGCGGCTTACCCACAAAAACTCACCGTCGTCCACCGACCCCCCAAACTCCGCCGGAGCACTACTCACTTTCCCTTCCACGTTGCTACACAGCACCACTCTCCAGACTAATCCAGGGCGACACTCCCTTCCATTTCTAAACGTGCCCGCGGTCACCAGCTCCCAACACTCGAGAGCGGGTGCCGACACACAAAAATCCTCAAGGTATCGCATAGACAAAACGAAACAGCCAAACGTGCAAAAAAACAGGAAAAAATAAAAAAATGACAAGTGAAAACTAGTCCATAATGACGAAACCAAGCATGATCATGCATGAGTGCTAAACGCACTGCAATGAACACGAACACTTCAACATCAAACACGTGGTAGTCGCTTTGCGGTGTTCCGTCTACAACGACGGATACGGTATACCAGCGGGGAACTACTGAATCAAATCAGAGCCTTCACACGCCAAAAAGTCTTATGTCGAGCCACGGACATGTTGCGCATACATACGTGCGCGCCGCCAGACGGAAAACAATCTTTCGTTTGCACAGAACTGAGAAACGGTAGCCTCCTTCACCATCCTTCCCGTCACCAAAGTTCGACTCAAATGTCAGTCAACTGGGTACAGTATTGTAGGGTAGGATGGCACGGCACGACAAGATGCCGGGAGAAAGGGGAGAAAGGGGAGGGGGGGTTCAAAACCGACATGCATCAGTGGGTTCCCCACTCCTACCTACACACACGGAACATTGCCACAATATTTTCCCTCGAATTTTGCCCACAGCCACCTATCTCGCTCTCTCCACCGCCGATCAAAGACCAAAACAGACAACAAAACCCGTTACTCCTGCAAGTTGGTGACAATAATCGCACCATAGCGCGACACCACAGAGAAGACGGAGGAGAACAACAAGCGCACACAAGTCTAGTTTTTTCGACACGCGTTTTTTGGTGCCACCAACTGCTACATCTCTCTGCCTTCACCTGCGCCGCAGAGAATTAGCTATACCTTCTTCTATCAGCAATACGTTCTTCTATAGCTGCTGCAGCCACGAGCTCTGCAGCACCTCCTGGGCGGACGGCCTGTCCTCGGGGTTTCTAGAGAGCATCCGGCGGATGAGGGTCGCCGCCTTCAAATCCACCCCCTCCCAGTCCGGCTCCGAGTGCAGGATGCTCTCGGTGATCTCCTCGTCGTCGGCCTCGCTGGTTGGGTCGAACGGGTGGTGCCCGACGACCAACACGTACGCAATTACCCCTAGCGACCACACGTCCGCCTTCTGGTCCACCTCCGCGCTGTTCTCCACGACCTCCGGCGCGCTGTACGCGATCGTGTACTCCTTCACCTTCTTGTGGCCTCTGCCGCCCCTCAAGCGAAAGCTGGACCCGAAATCTGCCAGCAGCACCTTCCCGACACTGCCCCCCGCCTCTCCCGCACTTTGTTCCGTTTCCGCTACCGCTGCCGCTTCCGATATTTGGTTTCCCCCAGTGCGACGACTTTCATCCCCTGAGCCAGTTGCTGCCGCCGCCAAGAGCATGTTCTCCGGTTTGACGTCGCCGTGGACGATGGAATGCTCGTGGAGGAAGGCGATCGCCTTGGCCGTGTCTCGGAGGAGGGATCGGACATCGCCGTCGTCGAGCGCAAGCCCTTCGGTTGTGAGGCGGTCGAACAGTTCTCCCCCCTCGGCCAGCTCCATGACCAGGTACCAGCAGTCCTCGTCCGCGTATATCCCCTGTCGTGTGTGGCGTTTTGACAGCAGGGTCGTTTGCGTTGTTGCTGCGTTCGAGGGTGACGTTTTTGGGTGTTGGTGTTGCACACTCGGTGCGAATGAGTAGAACATCTCTCGGGGGAAACATATCTCGGAAACTTTTACCACCTACACAAGTACGGGAATGCTGGTATTGATATTCCAGTGAGGTCCAATTGTATGCATACCGGTATCGGTACTTCGCACTCTCTCTCTCTCCCTCTCCCGGTGTCTTTTCTATCGTTTTCCGTCCTTCCTCAGGCTGTTCTTGGTGCTACTCGGTTAACCCATTCAGCACTGTTCACCTTGACGCCAACCACGTTGGGATGGCTGGCCACCTCTCGGTGCACGTCGGTCTCTTCTCGGAAGTGGGACTCCGACGCCTCGCTTCGGGGAACGCACTTGACGGCTACCACCTCTCCCGTAGCCTTGTCCGTTGCCGTCGTTACCGTGCCGAACTGCCCTTGGCCCAATGTCTGGTCGCTCCTGACGGTGTAGAACTATCATAGTCGCAACGGGCCAGGTTCACCACACGCAAGTGCCAGCAGAGGCAGAGAAGGTGGGACGGCAGAGAATGAGCCCTCGTGTTGCGAGTTGCTGCGTTGACAAGTCACTTTGTCGTCCAGAAGCGCAGGCATGTGGCCCAAAATTAGCTCAGGTTGTGTTGATGAAAAGCAAGTGGATTCATGTACATGCCTGTAGTTGGAAACAATGCCTGCGTGCAGCCACCCGAAACATCATGTAACGTGATAGCGGTGCTTGGCTCTCCGTGAACAATTAGCTCCGTGAATCGACAGCAGCACTACACATGTCCCGAGGGGTGGGGCGATAGGGTACCACGTTATAATGATGGGTAGACTATTATCTCAGGCAAATTTTGCACCAGCGGCTATTCGTTAAATACCTTTTATTGTGCCTCTCAAAACTTTGCCCGTCAGGCACGAGTACGGGATAAACCACAGCAGGAGGGATGTAGGGATGGATTTCTACAGCCGGTAGCGGTATCAGAAACACTCCTGTACCTGCTTGTGTTTCCACGATTCCCCGAGCAGCATATTGTGGAGATAATCCGCATTTGGATCTTGGCCGTGAAGAAACTCCATGCTTGATGCTCAACATTCAATTTTACATCAACATTAAAACTTGAGCACTAGCTGTGAGAGCTCGGTGGACAACCTCTCACTAAAACCTAGTTATATGCATTTAGAGCCAGTCCACGAACTAAGAATCCCATCATCAAATATGTATCTCCCTTGTGGGCAGCGGGCTCTATAATAGCAACGACAGCTGGGTTCTGTCCTAAGCTGGGAAAGGTGTAGACGGAAGATGGTGAGAGGGTGGTTGGGTGTTCGGGGTGGTCTAAATGTTGCATGGGCCCTCCGGAAGCGTATCTCAGAGAACAACCGCATGCAGGTGTGGCAGTTTGTTTGCTGTTGTTTGTTGTAAGGTTAAAAGGTTGAACCTCGTAATTACGTAATTACCGGACCCAAAACTTAAAATCCTTCCTTCACTCGATTGCCCCAGTATGTCAAGTGCTGCACTCCATACTTGATCGTTCTTCCCTTCTCGCGATAAAAAACCTCAGGCAGGAACCGCAGGAGGGGGTCCAACCCCCCCCTCCTATGTGACTCCGGTTGGGTCGTCTAGCTGGTAAAAGTGAAGGACAGGGGCCAGAGGGGCAGACGACAGAGTCCAATGATGGGAGACCAAAATGTATATATATATACTGGAGTATAAATATACAAGGAGGTGCAGCCGTCGGAAGAATCCAACGCCCCAGGGCATTAAAACGCGGCATCTCTCCGATACCTCCAACAACGAATGTGGACTGCTGTTGCTATGTAAGTGTGTGTTGGTCGACAGGTGATACAGAGGTCGCTCCCCCCGTATCGACACCGCGGGAGGAGGAGAGAGGTCGCACACGAGACGTCAGAACGTCAGACTAGGCGAAATGAAGGGTTCAAATGTTCGTCGCAATTTCGTTGCATATACGTAGCAATACGCACATCGACGCACTTCGTCGACCGTCTCCCGACTATCCTCCCGACTTCAAGAAAAGTCAAAGTTCTCACCTCGTCTATCCTGCGTAATGGCCACACGGCATTGGCAGAGGAGGTCTGCTGCTGAAGCTTCTCCAACAAACGCGACGGGAGCTCGTCGTCGTAGCTGTAGCCGGACAGGATCACGAGGCCGAGAGACGCCAACAGACCGAACCCGACGTAGGGCTCGTGGTCGTGTTGTTTAGACATACTCATTGATGCCAACTGCCTCCGAGGTCCTCCCCATGCTCCCTTTCCCCCTCCGGCAGGCGCAGCCCCAGGGAAAGCGCGCGACCCGGCCTTGTGGAGAGCACGCCGCCATCCCGCCCCTCGAAGCACAGCCCGGGTGGTGGTGTTCATGGCTCCTGGAAGAAGAGGATTGGCGCGTTGGCAGCCGTTTGATTTCAGGCTCCGAAGCAGCCGCAGCAGCAGCTCAAACTCCAAGAGATGTGTGATTCGATGTGCACAAGCACAGCAGCGTGGCGACGAGTCGGCTCCACGACCAATCTCTCCTCACTGACACACACGTGTACCCAGGTATGCTGCGGCTAGCACGTTCGGTTGTGACCGTGTTGGGGGTTGGGTGTTGGGTGTCGGGTGTTGGGTGTTGGATGGGTGAACGTCGGGTTTTGATCGATCACGGCGGATGAACCACTGAACCGCAGAACTCTCAGAACTCTCACGTATATTTTTTTTTCGAACAGAAACGGCGGGGTTTCCCGCTTCCACCTGTTTCCACCCTACTGCAGCTGTATCATCTGGATAGATTCGGGTGATTGTCAATTGCAATGATGGCTTTGGTTGGGCGTTCTTCTTCATTGTATGTCCACGGGCTCATTCTGACAGCACTTCAGACAGCAGCTCCATGCCCCGAGCTTGTGTACCATGCACCATGGTGTTATTATTGTACAGGCAGCACTTCAAACAGCAGTACGCTGTAGTCGACAAAAACTCATTTTGGTTAAATGCGGGACAAGGGGGGTGATGCTGCTCCTGTAGACTAGTCGATTTGTAGTGTGTGGGCGTGTAGTTCTTTTGTGAGCACGCAAACATGCTGCAGGGATTGCAGGTGTACCTCCTCGGGCTTGCGTACCCTTTCCTTGCTAATAGTGTGTGTGTTCTTCAGACCTTCTGATGGCTCTAGCATTTTTGTGACCACGGACCGAGTCTTTGCTAGATTTTGGGATCAGCAACTGACACGAGTTAATGTGAAGAAAACAACCATGTATGTGGAGAACACCTTCATAAAGGTTGAAACTCCCCAACAAACGTCTGTCGAGGACGAAACCCTCTTTTCCACAATTGGCGTCGACAAGAGATGTTAGGTGTCTGCTGTTGGTTGCTAAAGAGACGGGTTCAAAACCCGTTGCTCACCTACTTGTCTTCCGGAGTACGGAAAACGAAAAACGGTGGGTGGGCCAAGAAACGATGCACTCTGTCTATCGAACTCGAAACTTCTGGCAATGCGTGGCGGAAGTGGCGCACCCGCAACACGCACAGAAGATTGTTGGAAAAAAGGTGGTTCTTCTCGCCGCCAGCCGGTCGGATTCCGGTTACCCCAAGAAGACTTCTCTTCTTGCCTAGCAAACAAGAACGCCTCGAAAAAGGGGGGGGTAATGTGGAGAACACCTTCATAACGGTTGAACCTCCCCAACGTCTGTCGAGGAAGAAACCCTCTTTTCCACAACAACAACAACAACAACCCACGGCAACGTACGTCACATATGAAACCGTCAATGACAGCAGTACAATAGTCGTCGCCGACCGCCGACGGGAGACCGGCGCGCGCAAAGATTAGGCTCGCGGGTGGGTGTGTCTCGCCTGAGGGAGAAAACCATGTCGGCTAATATGGGGAGCCAAAAGAAACAAATCAACCACCATGCATGTAGTCTATGTGCACAGCGTTTACGCGGGATGGTACGACGACGGCATGGCTCCATTACGTATCGATGTAGTCTAATTCTCTGGTGTTCGAGCGGAGGGAGGTCGAAGACTNTCTTCTCGCCGCCAGCCGGTCGGATTCCGGTTACCCCAAGAAGACTTCTCTTCTTGCCTAGCAAACAAGAACGCCTCGAAAAAGGGGGGGGTAATGTGGAGAACACCTTCATAACGGTTGAACCTCCCCAACGTCTGTCGAGGAAGAAACCCTCTTTTCCACAACAACAACAACAACAACCCACGGCAACGTACGTCACATATGAAACCGTCAATGACAGCAGTACAATAGTCGTCGCCGACCGCCGACGGGAGACCGGCGCGCGCAAAGATTAGGCTCGCGGGTGGGTGTGTCTCGCCTGAGGGAGAAAACCATGTCGGCTAATAATATGGGGAGCCAAAAGAAACAAATCAACCACCATGCATGTATGTATGTGCACAGCGTTTACGCGGGATGGTACGACGACGGCATGGCTCCATTACGTATCGATGTAATTCTCTGGTGTTCGAGCGGAGGGAGGTCGAAGACTAGTCTACAGAGTTACAATCTGCTGTATGTATGTAGTATATGTATTATACAACGTCCAAAATTGTACAAGTAAGTAATGGAAAGGGACCAACCGCGGCTCTAACACGTGACCAACCCGGCCCGGCATGCACGCAAGAGAGCAGAGATAGCAGTGCAGGATGGACCCGACGCAAATCGAGATTTTAGTCTAGACTATGCCGCCTTTCTTCGGCGGTGCTCTCCCTACAGCAGTAGTACTCTCTTGGTTGTGTTGCGCTGTTTTTCGTTCGCAGCAAATAAATATACTTAGGTTATAAACAAGGAGATGAACCTCTGCCGTGTGCAACTTTCTGGTCTGGTTCGCATTCTCATGTAATGCGTGTTGGTGTGCTCAAATCCTCAAGTGACTGACAAGCTCATTTATTTTCATTTTGGATTGGCAGTGTTCTTCAGTGTATCCGACACTTTTTCCGTCTGTCCTCGAAGACTGACTCTCTGCTTGGAGACTGTTGCAGAATCTTATATCTGTGCAAACAAAGGAAGGAACTGAACTCCGCCAAAGCGATGCCAAGTCGCAACGGCTCAGCTACATACAGCAGCAGCATTGTGATGTCCCCAATCACGCGGATCGCACACATACAAAATGTTCATGGCAGATAGAAGTGTTTTGTGTTTTCAACCGCACTAAGACTGACGTCTTTTCATTGGTCAGCCGGTTAGCGCGGTCGATGCTAATAATAAAAATACAAACGGACTGGGTTGGTTCTAAAAAATGGTGCGGAGCTTAGGCCCGATCTTTTATTTAGTCGCGTGGACCCTCTCCTACGCTGTAGCGCCCCTCCCCGGCCGGGGCCCCCTACTGTGCATCCTACGTACGTACCAGGAAGCCGACTGT